TACCGTGAGAATTTCAGGTGTCCTGCCTAGATCTTGCCAACACATTTGTGTGTCCTGTCTCTGATAAAATGTGTAGCTAAACGTAAAGCCTGTTTGTTTTGGGCTTTTTTACAGTTAATACATTTTTGCAGTGTTGGTGGTTTCAAGTTCAAAACGTGTAGGTAATGAGTGTTTTGTGTGTTTGAAAGTACACTTTCAGGCCAATGGAATGCCAAACACTGCTGTATATTAGCTTATGGTTCTCTATGTTGGATCCTACCTGTTCGTAATGTCTTTTGTAATTATAGATTGAGTCAACATTTGGCACTGTATTGGAGTACTCTTTCTTACTCTTAAAATACTGGGAGCAGTAGCTGCTGTTCCAGTGATTATAGTACTTTATTTGCAAAATTGCTGCATGTGATTGTTGTTGGGAAAAGTCTACTGACATACTTTTATACAATTTTAATTCAATAAGTAGGATGGTATTTCAGGTGAAATTGTACTTTCACAAAATTAACTAACTGGAAGTGTTTATAGTGGTAGATTTTACAGTGGAGACTGCTGCTCTTCTCATAATTTCTGTAACGGGAGCCGGTCCAGGCTCCTACGAAGCATAGTTCAGGACCCTATGCAGACGATATAATCCGGAAGTGAGTGGAAAAGGACATCAGGGGAAAGTACAGCAGGATAGGATGGGTAGACAGACAGGGGGGCGTGGCGACGATGATCCAGTGCTCGGGGGGCGTGGCAAGGGCAAACAGATCCAGACAGTCCAAAAAACAGTTCTCGGTCATAAAATGACGCCAGGCGCTCCGAGCCCCGGACTCAGCTGGCCAGGACGCCATGATGAAGCCTTTGGCCTCTTCAAATTTATGTCTGTATTTTTATGTATGTCTGCTAAGCAAATTGTTCCTGGTGTCAGTGTGTGCATGTTTGTGTCCGTGTGTATGTCCTATGATGGATAATCCTGTTTTGCGACTGTTGCTTGCCAGGATAGTCTCCAGTTCCCTGAAATGGATGGATGCGCTGTCTTTGCATTTTTTTGTAAGAACCAAAACAATTAAACGTCTCTTAGAAATGGCATTACTCTTTGGATCCTCTTCTGTAAGTGCATTATCTAATGAAGAAAATGTCTAACTGTAACATACAACAGGCTTCCTTGTTCCTCTGCCTGCTTACTTGATAAGTAAAAGCAACCAGACAACTTGAGCTATCCTAAAATATCCAGAGGTGTTTTTTGCTTATGTCTAAATACCGTCCTATGCATAAAAATCAAGAAATAGGTGGTGTGTTTGACTGTAATTTAAAAAGTTGTACCTGTGATGTGATTGAAATCATAAAACATGGCAGATTAAGCATAAAACTATATACAAAGTTGATGTGGTTGATTGTTGCTTACTATATCCTACTTACAGCTTTAGGTAGATTTTTGAATTCATGCATCTACTTGAGGACCTCAGCCATCGATTTCTAATAGTGAGTAAGTAACTGCCCATTAATATCCAAAAGAGCCATTTTCTTGTTTTTTTCATTTTTTCCTTGATACTGTACGTTTGTTTATATTTTAATAAATACTTATGCGTTTCAAGTAATTGCCTCTAAAATTTGAAATTAACTTTTGTTTAATGACAAACTTTCAAGGAATGCAACACTTTAGAAAACTGTGGTGATGGTATAATGCAGAAGTGAATCTTATTTTAGGATATTGTGTACTATTATATAATCATATTACAAAAATATGAATGATTTTTTTGTTATCAATAGTTGATTGCTATTCCTCAGATGTAATGTTCCTGCTATGAGAAGAGCCTTCCAGTCATATTCACACGTTGAATATGATTTCAGCAATATTGTACTTAAGGAGAAACGGCTTAGGGAAAATATTGCTGGTTCAGTTCAGTTCCTTGTATAAATGTGTACCAGTGGAACTGTCTTTGATTCTTAGCCTGAGAAACACAACAGAGCCACAATTAGTTGTTGGTTTTTCCAAAACTGTTATAAAGCTTTGCAAACCATGCAAATAATTTAAAGGTTTGTTCATATGATTGATATGGTTTCACATTATTAAGGAAGCAGACCAAGGCAAAGAAAGTACTCTATGATTCTCAGTTGCTTTTCTCTTCACACCCTACTTTCTGTACATATTTCTATCAGGTGCACTTTGTTTGTTAAGCCCTGAAAAGAATCTTGGATACATTCCAAAGTGACAGCCAAGGCTCCACTGGCATTTTCCAACAAGAAGAAACACATTCCTGAATTTTTCAAATCCCTTTCTTTGAAATGTCTTGGATGTTTTCTTTAAAAACACTAGTGATTGATTTTTTTTCTACAGCCTTATGAGGAAAGCTAACTTTGTTTTGTTTGACATTATAGACAACAGGAGAAATATTGAGAAATCAACAAAATTACCTCCCCCCTAGATAAGTGGTGTATATGGACTGTAATATAGAATCTTATCCCATCATTCATCACTATGTTCTATTAAATGACTAATTGTAGACCTTAATTGACAGTTTCTCCTCAAACATTAATATATTTGTAGACAAATAGAATGTAGACAAGGCCTACCATCTTACCACTGGGAGCTTTCCCAGGGTTTCTGTGTTAGGTCTATTGAGCAGTTTTTGGGTTGATAACTAAAAACTGTTGTTCCTCTGTCGTCTTGATTGTTTTTTCAGAATACAAAACAGGATAGTATTTTTGTTGTTTCCAGCAATGTAATTCTTGTATTAGGTAACTGGATCTTTACTCTTCAAAAAAGAAATGTCCCATTGGTTGGTGATTCATCCTTACCTTTTGTTCCCGAACATGGTTTTATTAATGTAATAACACCAAAGTGGTGACTAATCCTATGTTTACGTTCAAAGTACTTACTGTACCCATAGAAGTTACACTTAATGCCTTTAGAGTTTAGAGCTTAATAATAACACATCAGACTAACATAGTGTCTTGTGTAATGTATGGTCTTCTGTATGTGCAGTTTTGCCTAGTCTCCCTCCCTGATTACCTGCTTGTTTAATGATATTTTGCTTAGAATATAAGGAGATGTTAAGTTCTAAAAGCTTCAGAATAGTTTGAAACAAGAAGAGTCCCTCTAGCTATTTTGGTAGTAGCTTTTTATTTGTTATTCTTTTTGGACATTATTTGTACATTTGTTGTTCAGCCTTGTCTTACTGCACTTTACTTGTGTGTCACAAAGGGCACTGAGTGGGAAATGAGCTGGTAAATTTATTGATGAATAATACACAATTCATTTCGATGCCTTTGCAGCAGTTTGAACTTACGGAAAACATTAATTTGGACTTGTACGCAGGAGACTGCAGGACAGTTCTATAGAGAAATTGATTTAGCCAGAGCTTCAATTAAGCAGGAGTCTTTCATTCAAACATCATTTCTCGTTAGGAATCACTTCTATATGTGTTCTAGGTCAGGGGGGTCAAACTCATTTGCAGTGGACAGCTACATTTGATTTTAAATGTACTCCAAATAGGCCATACATATAAAAGGCAAAACAACTATATAGTCTTTTTTTAGTGTTCAATTCAATAAAATATGTTGCAATTGATTTAGTATTTACAATAGTAAAGAAAACAAGGAAAACATTTCTCCTAAAGGGAAAGAAAGAAATTGAAAATGGTTTTATTTATCTTAACTACTGTGCTAGGTTCTATGGGTTTATGCGTTCTTATTTAGTCAATTCAGTGTCCTTAACATTTTTTGGCCTCTGGAAAAAAGCTTTCAGATATGAAGTCAATGGAAATTAAATCTTTATTATATAGGATTTTGCATTACAAACAGGGAGGGATGGGTGTGTAAACATATCCATTGGTAAACTGAGGGACTGAAATGCAAATTACAGGGCCTCTGGGATTAGTCATCTGTAAAATCTGCTTGATGGACTGATGAAGTGAGAAGCAGTTTGCCTTGTTTTGTAACTGGCTGAGTTTTATTGTTTTCAACTGACAAATATAATTTGCAAAAACAAGATTAAAGAACATCACATGACAGTAAACACTGAAAATGCAGAGTATTATCTGCTAGATATTAGTAACACTAAAGCAGCAATTCGTTCACTTCTACAACTGTTCCTATTGCAGAGTGTGACCTTTGGTTCAATTAACTGCTAACTACCAAGTATGTCCTTTTGCTCTTTGGAAAGTAGCTACCTGTTGTACAAATCAAGCATATCAACTTTCCATTTCCAAAGAAAAATAATCTTCCTCACATGACCTGCACATTATTTTTATGATTGATTTGATGAACTTGCTGGGATTTATTAGGGGACACAGGACTCGCATTATCAATTGTTTACCACCATTCTTGTGTAAAGAGACACCTGTTTTTAACTACATCTCTGACATCATAAAACAGGGACACCACCTTTGTATAAAGGTAGAGAACTACAGGGAGTGCTGCATATGCATATACAGCACATACACTTACATTACTGTAACTTCACCATGCGCATACCTGTATATGGGTGGAATAAGCTGGTTCAGACTAGACGTGACTTGAGTCCCAGCTGGTGGCTCTGACCACAACTGTCATATGGACCAAACGAATAGTCTCGGGGGCTGAACATGGCCAATGGTAGTATGTCTGATTCCCTTATCAACATTCCTTCTAAAAAGTTTTCAAATGATTAAACAAGTAATGGTCTCGAATGTATAGAAAGCAGTTTTGTTGTAGTACAGTATAATGGTTCAGTAACGTACTCAGATATGTGATCTGATTTTGTGCTTCCTGACTACATTTATTGCCCATTCGGTTCAATAAGCCATTTCAGATTATTTTTTTTGTTAGACAATCGATTGAATACCCCTGAAAGTCTATAAAATAATTAGGACGTAATGCTGGCAACAAGATTTACAAGATGCTATGTCTGTTAGACCTTTTATGAATAAATTGAAAATGAGGTTGTTCTTCTTTTAGAGGCTGTTTTTAAGTGTGGAGGAGAATGTATTGGTTTGTGCTTGAAAATGTATGACCAAGCTCTGTTTTGTTTTGTTATTTTGTAGGGATCTGGGATCTTTCACATTCATGGGGAATGGGACAGTCATTTTCAGCTGCAGAGCTCTTTGGCTGGGGGTCTAACTCACAAGAGCAGCAGAGGGCATCCTAAAGCAGAGGAGAGGGTGGGTTAATATCCCTCGCCTGACCCCTCCAGTCATGCCTTTCCGGCTCAAGCTGTGCCGCACACGGCGCTACAACGTCCTGAGCAAGAACTGCTTTGTGACCCGAATACACCTGTTGGACAACAATGTCATCGAGTGTACCCTGTCTGTGGAGAGCACGGGGCAGGAGTGCCTGGAGGCAGTCGCTCAGAGGCTTGAACTCCGAGAGGTAGGGAGAATTCATTAATAACAGTCTACCGAAATGCACCACAGTGCCTATTGCTTTGAAACAGACATGCATTTGATAGGAGCACTCTTTTAATAATGAGCTACAGTACTGGCACAACATGTGCCAGACTTCATTTACTGTAGGTGTTATGGTTAAGTGGTATCATTAACTAGTACCTGCCAAGCTAACATTGTCCCCTATTACCCCAAACACTATCACTGACTCCAGCTCTCAAGGTAAGACAAAGTTTCCCGTTTAAAATTAGCAACAAAAATGGATTGCAAAAGACAGCGAGTCTCAACGGAATTCTTGGGACTTTAAGTACTTATAAGGAAGGTTTCAAACAAAGGGTTGTTCGGCATATCTTTACGTCTAACATCTTATCCAGCTCTTTCATTAAGATGTCAGAGCTAGGGCCACAACCACCTGGATGTGAAGCCGTTTAACGTAGTCTTTAGTGAAAAGATAAAATTATTTATATCTTAATATATATTAATTATTTATATATAATCTTTTCACTTTAATATTTTGAAAAGTGTTAGAATTACAGGGGACATAATTTCATGTAATGTGCAATTTAATAGAATCAGGACACCTGTGCAAAGTGTATTTCATCATAAATTGCTGTAGCTTTTGTATAATTTCATAGTTGTTAGTATTGCAAGTTGCTTTCAATGTTATATTGAAAAGGTAATTAAGACACAAGCATGATTTTAATTTAGCTGACACAACTGTTTCTGTGAATTCAACTTAATATAGTCTGTAATTACCAGTCAGTATATATGGTGCAGAAAAAATGTTTTTTTATGTCTGTGGAAGCATCCCCCAGCATCCCTTTGAAAATGATTTTTTACTTGTTCTGAATTTGTGATTATATTTGTCAATATATAGTTTACTCTTTTAATTTTCCTTGATAAGCTGCAGAGGTATACCAGAAGAAATCAATGTAAATGGTAGTCTAGTGTGCTGATTTAGTAGTTGACAAATGTTCTTTAACAAACTGTTCTCAGGAATTTCAGATTCTTGATGCAGTGGCACATAACAGCTCAATCAGCTTCAAAGGAAAAGGTTAGGTTCACATTTGTGGTATTTCTGCTGGCTGTATATGGGATAAACAGTTACACGGGCTTGCTTTCTTTGATTTCAGCAGTGTTGAATGGGGACAGAAATAAAACTAGAAGATGAATGTACTACTATACATGTATTCAAGAGAAGACAGTAAAGCAGCAGCTACATTTTTTGAAAATATTAATGAGGAAAAGCATCCATTCTGAAGTCTTAGTGTTTAAAACAGATTGTCTAAAAAATATTATATTTTGGTTTCTTAAACGAAAGTATAGCTTTCAAGAGTCAGAATTTCATCTGTGTGCTCGGTTACCCCATTAACATATACAGTTTCTGTTACAGTAATTCATATTAAATTCTAAATTAAATTGTTTGCTGATTTTCCATTATTTACAGTACATTAGTACCTTAGAAAGTTATGATTAAGACATTTAAAAAAATCAAGCTTAAAAAATTGGAAAGCAGTAATAAAAGACATTCTAAAATTTATACTGTAATGTCTGTATTTCATAGTAATGGGAAGCTGCTTTGCTTTTGCAAGAGAAGGTGTCTGTAGATTTGTAGAAAACTATACTGGCACAAGAACATCTTCATTGTGACTTTTCTAGAATGAATAAATTTGCAAGATCTGTTATTAGTAGTTTAGCATTATGCATTGCAATTGAAAAAAATAGTCAATACCCTTAAGCTAAAGCAATGTTAATCACCTGCTACTGTACATGACCAAAAACACAAACTAACATAACATAGTAGTTGTCTTTGAAAATGGAACAGTATAAGTGTATTTTTCTTATTATTTGAAGTTTTTTCTTCAGATTTATAATTTTTCTTGTTATATTACACAACTAATTGAAAATTGAAAAAATTGTTGTAACATTTCATTACTGGAGAAGTAAAGAAGAAATGGGCTTAAAATGCTTTCTTATTATGTTAATTTTCTATTTGAAGTGCTACTCCACCTAAAATAATATAATACTGTATTACTATAATTTAATTTGATTATTCTCATGTATATACATTTGTTCCCAACTTGTAGCAGTAGTATTTTTTGTCAAAGGATAATGAGTAAAACAAAAGACTTTTATTTTGAAGAGATAAGTCAGGGTGTGAGAGAATCCCACCCTTTTGAAATTCAGCCCTCAAAAAGCCGACTCAAACTGGTCTGCATGTGAGGTATTCTCATTATTGCTGCTTTTTATTTGGTTATTTTTATTTTACAACCACAGTAAAAAAGCCCTTTGGTTGCTTTTTTTGTAGGTTTACTGTAGTTGCGCTACGCTAAATTACAAAGATCAAAGTGAACTTCAGATTGTAATACGTGGGGTTTTAAAAGTATCCCTCGTCAGGTTTCGAAGCAGCATATTTAACTAATAACGCTGTTCATCTGAAATGAATTGCTGTTGGTCTCTTGGTTAGAACTGGGGTTTCCAGTGGACATCTCTCAAACCACGCGGAACCCTGAGCCCAACCCTTTTGAGTGTGCTTTATACCAGGGGTACTCAGAATGTTCTCAAAATGGACAACTATTTTCAGCCATTCACTTTTAAAAATAAAACTTCACAGACTTGCAGAGCAGATTGTAATGAAATTCCCATGACCGCATTAACAATAATATGTTAAAATTGTTTACTGCAGGATGTGAGCTCCTCAAACTATTTTTACTAATGAGATCAAATAGATTGTTGAAATTTTTTGCCCCTTTAATTAGTCTGCCTTGTGGTGATATTACCCTGTTCTTCTGTCGGTGCCCTAGATTCTCCTCGTTTTGGAGCCATTTCTGTATGTGCTTTTTAGGATATATTGTCTCTTGTTGAAATGGGAGGCAGTTCAAGTGTGGTTGTGATGACTACATTCGAAGGAGGTCTGTTTACTGATACCATGTTGTGACATTTACCACTCGTCAGCAATGTAATAAATAAATGTGGTTTGTTACCCACTAGGGCATCTCCTTGCTCCCACTGACCTCAGAGGCCTGCCTAATCTGCCTGGTAGTGTGAGATGGTCAGACATTAGATCAGCCTCTTGGTGTATTCATTTACCACGTTGTCTGACCTTGTAAGAGGACCATAGGCAATAGCAGCCAAAACAAAAATATTACCATACTGTGGTTATATGCATGTATTTCTCATGAAACAAAGAATTCACATTTTTGTGGTATTTTGGCCATGTGTCCTTTTTTGTTCTACCACATTTGTTATAATAGTAAAGATATACATTGGTTTTTGCAGTGATTTTAATGTATACTATAATAGTATACTAGTAATTGAGCACTATAATATGTATTTTAAAATGCAAATGTCTGACGGAAAAAGCCTATCTTCATAAATTGACTTTAATTTCTGGTTATATTTGATTGTTTTCTGTTCTTAGCTTGAACTTTAAATGCCACACCTTATGGGAAAAACTCTTAAGATCATCAAAGCCAAACACGAGAAGGTAACAGATGAGAGAATGTCCTTCAGCCTGCTTTTCTTTTCTAGTTATTAGTAGTTTAATAATCCTTGAATGTCTTTGAGATTTTAAAGCATCCTGGAACACCCAAAGCATAATTTGGTATTTTTTCCACATGCCCATATCTTCCCTTTTAAAAACTACACTGAAGCTCATCTTTAATTTACATTTATGTTCTCTGATCATTTAGGTTTACAGTAATGTTTTGGAAGTACTGCCAGTTGGTTTTAGGATTTCTGAAAACCTCAGTGCACACAGTTTGGGGCCTTGTTTGTTCCATACTAAAGAGATTAATTTATGTTTACATGCCAGTGTGAGTGTGTTTCACAAATTTCAGAACCTAGTTAAAAGAACCATATTAAATTGCTCTAGATGGGTTTTTTTACACATAATGTGATTTTTCACTGGTAGACCATAAGTATTAGAGACTGAAAATAATAAATTCAGCAGTCATGTTGTCATCTCCTTTTATTCAGTCTTCTGTTCTTTATAGACAGCTTGGTTCTTATTATTTGAATTTACAGCATCAATTATATTCCTCCTATAAAAAAGGGAACATAAAAATACATTCATAATATTGTTAATTGGAGAACACTAGTCTTAACTAGAAAGAAGTTAATTAAAAATGAGAACATGGGACACTTACTGGATAAATAATTGTGGGAGTCAAAAGTTCAAGCAGATACCTTTCTTCAAGAAAAGTTTGGATGGGATTCTTGGATCAATTAGTTACTTCAAAGAAAACAAGCTACCATGGTCTCGTCTCATTTGTAATTCTTCTGCTATGACTTGAATGTTTGAGTGTTCTCAAAAGGAACTACAAACAGCTGAAACAGCATCGATTTCTGGTGTTTCTATCAATTTTAGACATTGAGGTTTTTGCATCCTGCATGTCTGTGACTTTAAGATTCAGACAGTGCAGGTGTAATCTGTAGTTGCCTTCTCCGTGACCAGAATATAAACATGTATTGATCTCCAAGTATCCTTCACTGAATACTATGAAATTCTGAACTAATGCTTTAATACTTGAACAAAAAGGTTTTATTTTACTTTAGTATGTTTTTATTTGAGAGAGGGATATGAAGTAGAGTTACATTTTATTCAATTTAATCAGTTTATTCAAGTGATTAATACCTAGTGACATACTGTACATGTACAGTAATTGACTTTCAAAACGGCTAGTGCATATTCTATCTGCGTATTCTGTGAACATCAATTGGATAATAGTAGTCATAGTAGTGTTCATGATCATGAGTGCAAGCATAGATCTGTTCTGTTTTGTAAATCAAACTGACTTCTTTTCTTGATAAAATGGATTTACAGTAAATACAATTCCATTTTTAAGCCCACAGTAAACATTTGTTGCAGTTGGTTTTTGTCATTTATTATAGAAAAGCGATGGCACACACGTTTTAGCATTTTTCTTACCTTTAATATTGTTAAGATGCCTAAGTAAACTTTGCTAGTCTGCTCTAGTTCTCCAG